AATATATAACAAAATGACTGTAGAGGTTGAAAGAAAATTCGTTTGTGATGCAGAAATTATGGAGAAACTACAGGATATTGGAGGTGTGTTCAGATCTTCTCATTATCAAAATGAATCATTTATGCTTTACACACACACACACATTATATTCATTATTATACACATACAGAATCCTGAAGTAACAAGCAACAGTATTAACTACCCTTTAATTTTATGGGGGTTTTTTCCCCTTAAATTTTAGGTTAGATTTTTACATTTTCTTATTTCTCTGTACAGCTAAATGCATTGGTCAGCGGCAGTTCCGAGACCAGTATTTTGACTCACCAGATTTCATCCTCACACTAAAAGATTTCTGGCTGAGATGCCGAGAGGGATTGTGGGAGTTGAAATGCCCTGCAGTTTCAGGAGCTGCACCTGACAATGACACTGAGTCCCTTTGCACACAATACAGAGAGATAACCAGTTTGCCTCTGATTCAATCAGAAGTCAGCAGGATTATCAGGGAACACACTGCTGAAGGGAGTGAATCGAATTCCTCACCAAGGGAACAAATTGACAAAGTCGCAGAAAATGAGGACACAGAGATCTGTTCAGCAGATGACACAAAGTGGCTGAATGTCCTCAATCTCGTCTGTTTTGCCGAGTTCAAGACCGAGCGCTGCTCTTACATGCTAGAGAGAGAGGCCGGTGCAGTGCGGGTGGATCTGGACCAGGCTGATTTCGGATATTGTGTGGGAGAGATTGAGGTTCTGGTGCCTGAAGGAGGTGACATGAGTGCAGCTCTGCAGAGGATTACAGGCATTGCTGCAGAACTGGGTGAGCCGATGTTTGTGGACACTGTCATATATACAGTACAGAGTTAATTTGCTGCCACTTCATTTTGCTAAGACCAGTGTTACTTTAGTATAATTGAGATTCATATAGTTTTTAGTAATAGTTTGATTTAGTTTTTATTTTGTATGTATTCATATTTGTATGTTTGTAATTAAAGTTGTGTTTTTGTCATTTTTGTTAAGGTAGGGCTGTGCAAAAAATCGAATGCGATTTTCATGCGCATC